TGTGTGTGTGTGTGTATTGTATTGAGTCCAGGTTGTGAACCTGTGGAGAGTCTGAGAGCAAAAGGAGATTCTCCAACATTCCTTCCAAGTTAGAGCGCAGCATGGGGTTGTTCACAGAGGAACTGAACACACACATGCACACACACACACACTTTCCTGTCGTAACTCCTCAAAACTACTTTGCACAAAGAAAAGTTTTTGTCCCTATCAGATCCCCACTGTTTCACATACAGTTATTAACACTGGGTCTATTCATTCTTTTTCTCTTTTCCTTTCTGTCTTCTCAGGATCCTTTATTTTTTCTTTCTCTCTTCCTTTATTTCTTTCCAGGCATTTTGTTGTTGTTACATCATTATGTTATAACGATCAGCGTGGAATCACACTGAGATCCTCTCACCTTGGCCAGGGATTTTTTTGTTGACACTGCCCTAACCTATTAAAACTGTACAGCTTAATTCTTATGTAAAAATAAATGCAACTTAAAACTTACCATTAGACGGTCAACTAGGGGAGAAAGAAATCACAATGCCAAAAGAATAATACGGTAAGTTAGCAGTTTGCTATTGTTCCAAAGTTGTATTAAAATATTAAAGAAGCACTTTAGCACTTGAACTATGAGCAAAATGTATTTGCTGTAGTCTAATGTAGTCTACTGATCACAGAGGCAGCTGGAAAATAAATTAATGATGTATGGATATGCATGTGACAGTTATGGAAATTTGCTGCTGTCCCTGCAGAACTCGGTCACAAGATGCATTCACATCCACAACTATCACAATGTTCAAACTGCTGTCTGTGGAGTTTATACCTTACTCAGAGCGAGGTTTTTTTCACTGCTTGGCCCCTCAGTATGTACTTAGGTCCTTGTGTCCCAAATCCCACTAAATCACCCTCACCTCTGTCTCACCTCCTGCTGCTGAGAGGAACCTCATCCTGCTGCTGAACCTTTTTCCCATATTAATACCTGCCAGATGGCTGATGCTTAATGTTCTCCTTCACTAATGATTATTCTCATTATTGGCAGGCTGTTTATTAGTTTTCTGATTAATCAATTGATAATTTAGTCACACAGTGACCCAAAACTGCCCATCACAAGTTCTCATAGCCCAAGGTGGCATCTTCAAATGTCCAGATGTCCCATAGATTTATTCAGTTTGCAGTAAAACAGAGAGAAGCAGCAATTCTTCATCATGATTTAAACAATTATTATCAAAATTCTTTGTCATTTATTTTGTGTCAATTGACTAATTATTAATCAATCAGCTATTTCCACACTAAGCACTAAATCATTACAAAAATAAGTTCTGAAATAAAGATTTTATGAGTTTCTTCTTCTCCACATTTAGGATTTAAGGATGGTTTTGTGTAGTTCAGAGAAACCAGACAAATATGTAATTATGGGGTAAATGAGATATGAATAAAATTGAATTGACTTGATTTTCTATTATTTAAACCTTTAACAATTCTTCACAGTTTATTCAATTAGAAATATAGGCCTATATAGTTTTTATACTATTAAATATACAATATAGACCTTGTTGTATGAATATGGATGTGGTGTATAAAGTACAATAGTATTAGTAGTAGTATGATAAATTTGGGTTATAATATCAACAATGTTAATATTTTATTTACAATATTTGACCGATTAATTGTATGGAAAAATACTGACTGAAGATAAAAGCATTCAGTTGACTGTAGAAATTTCCCTTTGAAATAATGTAGAAATTATACTACTCCCTCACACTTTGCCAAAGCGAGCAACATAAAAACTTAAAATAAAAATTTAAAGCAAAGTTTTGTTCTAAGAGTCAAGTCTTCTCATTTTACAGCTGCAACTTGAACAAGCATTCACTCTCCGGTGTGTAAATGCTGAATGAGGCAGTATAGTACCTGTGTCTGTGAGTGAGGCTCTGCAGAGTCAAAGCCCGGGACTGGATCTCCAGAGGCAGGAAGCCGAGCAGCAAGCACAGCCAAGCCGGCAGCAGCGCACACATGGCGGTGCAGTGGAGACGCACTGCCCGGAGGGAGGGAGGGGGAGGCGGATCTCAGAAGACCAAAATATTAAATATATATATATTTAAAATGCGTAAAAAATCCAATCAAAATTCTTGCGGAGTTGACGAATTCAAAGTTATGTCTAAGTACTAAATTGTCCCGTACAGATGAGTGACCTTGACAGCATCACCAGTCTTGTCTGTTGCATCCTCTCTGCTCGCTGGCTTTCTCGCTTTTAATTAGAAAATCCGCAGAAAAAGAAGGACCTGAAAACTCAGAAGTTCATTGGGGCTCACATCGAGAGCAACTGGAGTCCTGAGCTCTCTCATTTATAAAGCCTGATTGAGGGAGGAGGAAGAGGAGAAGGCGGAGGGGGGAGGGAGGAGGAAGAAGGCTTATTGTCTGTCCTACTCAACAACCTATCCTCTAATGAATCCCGCAACCTAATTAAACCTGAAGAACTCCAGTCTTCTCATATAATCTTGGTTATAGAGGTAAAGTACATTTGCCATATTTGTTGTTTTGAGTGTTTTTAAAAACAACTTATATTACCTACCTATATTTGTAGCCAGAATGACCTTGACCTACTTAGAAATGAACTTATTAACACAGTGAGGCCATATTGAGTTCATTTAAACCCTGTAGGGCTACACTAACATAACTTTATATATAATGTAGAGACAAGCTGAGAAAAATGTGAGGCTTTAACTATTTATAAATGTAAAAATAATTGATGTCATTTTTACAATCTAGAACTGTTTTATAATAGTATTTTGAGTGATTATGAGGCGCTTGTGTCTTTTTTTATTATTATTTTTGGGTTATTCTGTGTTAAATTGACAGACAAGTCAGACTTATAGCTGAGTTTGTGATAATAAAAAGAAGAAAAACCATGCATGTGGAGTAAGGTAAAGGTAAAATGTGCTAAACAAAGACAAAAATGAACCAAAATCAACCTGGACCTTAATAACTAAGTCATTAGCAATAGTGCTAGGGATAGAAATTCAAAATTAAAGCCTGCAGGTGTTAGTGAGACCTTGAGGTGTGAGTGTGATTGTTAAACGATTGATTGGAAAATGATAAATACAATTATGCGTCAATAATTAGCTCACAGTAAAATAATGCTGATAAGAGATGAACGAAAGAGCCTTACAATGCAGCTCCTGGTTCTGGCATTAAAGGCTATTGCTCAACAGAGAAATCATGTGTCGTATCTGAACTGCATATATAGTAAAAGCTTTGGCCATCTAGATTTATGCCCACTTGCCCTTTTTAAAAGCGAAGCCTCTGGTGCAGCACACACTCTTGTGATGTTTGTAAATTTAACCACAAATACTGACATTTATCTTTACAACCCAGCACAAGATTCAATCTCAATAAAAGCAAAAAAATAGGGGATCACTCCCGGGCATGTTTGTGACTCGTGTGGATCCATGCACAAAAGATTTTCTTTGTACAGTACAGTATTTACAGCATTTAACCTGCTTGCTCCATTTAATCAGGTAGATTAAGAACTCTTTTGCAACAGAGACCTGAGTGCAGCAGCATTATATGAATTGCTGTGGTGATCCAGTACGCGTGTATCTGCCCCTCCTTGCTGCTGTTGTTGAGAAGTGGATTATAGGGATGTCACTGTACAAACTGTAACCCACTGGAGTGGGAGTTAGGAGTTGTTAGATTAATCTCAGGAGCTGTGGCATGATTAACAAGTGAGAGAAAACGAAAAAAAAATTTTTTTTTAGAGATTTATTTATCTTTTTTTCTAGTGAAATACTGGGGTTTTTACCTCTTCAGGCCTCTAAATATTCAAATTAAAGTGTCTCAGAAGGTAAATATCAGTCTAGAAATATGTAACCTATGACAAGAGGTTGTGAGTTGACTTTGCTTGAGGGTCACTTGTTAAAGGGGTTGGGAACCAGAGCTTTAACTTGCCCACTAGATAATGTTACATACTTTTTGATATGGAAAAATATCTTATCAAAATGGCAGACTCCATGGAAGGCGACCCGTGTTGTGTGTAGTTATAAAAGGCTCATTCTAAGGTAACAAAAACACAACAATTCCTGTATTCAGGTGATTATATACTAATGAATACGTACCTGTGAGTATTGTATTACATTTTTGCCAATAGATACACCTAAATGTTACACACTCGACCTTTAATATAATAATAATTGTGTAACCAGGTTAAGGTCAGCCTGCCCGGCTACTGTCGCCAAGATGCCCCTTCATTTACAAAAACCTCCAAAGAAGTGAAGGTTCCACGTTGGTCGCAGTGATCCTGTTCTCCTCATTTTTCTTGTATAACAACAAGTATTCCCTTTTGTAAAGGAGGACATAGATGAGAAGCTCAGAGTCTGAACCTGATTAAAAGAATGCTCTGTATGTGGAGGTGGCTTCAGGCCTTAATTAAAGGGCTGAGTGTGTGTGTGTCTGTGACTCAGCAGTTTGCAGTATTACCCTCCTAAGCTCAGTTTCCAATAGGTGAGCCTCAACTCAGTCCAACATGTGCATTAACACATCTCCTATCTGTCCTTTAGAACAAAACTTGTGTGTTTGCGTATGCGTCCACACTATCCAGACTCATACCCTCTCCCTCTGATCTCTTAGCAGGCAATGATGCTTTGGCTCTCGGTAGAAAGGCTGAGTTTCAGACTTAGTCTTAACTTTGACGAGCCTGCTGGACACCTCGGGCTGAAATTAGAGAGGAAATCAGATGTCTGGCCGCATTCGCAATCTGTAAGTATAATCTGAGCAACTTTCAGCTTTACTTCTCTACGGATTAAAAAGAAGATCCGAATCTTATGTTAAATCTGAAGAGTCCAGTTTTTGGATGTGGACTTGATGTTGCACAAGGAAAAGAGGGTGTCACTGTATAAAAAGCAGGAGATTTCACTGTCAGGTTCAGTGAGTGCAGACGGGTTGAGAAAGGTGGCACTGAGGTGCAGAGACGAAAGAGATATGCTTTCATTGGAGCCTTCTTTGCAGGGCATTTGCAATTACACTGGAGGAATATTTTGCCAGACAAGTTGTTTTTTGTGTTTTCCACAGATTAGTCATTTCAGCACTAAATCAGAAAAGCACAAAAATCCAGTATAAGTTTTTGTGAAGAGTGTTAATTCCTAAAAGTTGCTTAAAACCTAAAATTGTTATTATAAGTACATATAAAGATATATGAATTAGTCCTTCTCCCACTTAATTATACAGATATGGGAAGTTTATTCCTATTATATTATAATATATATATTATATTATATAATATAATATTGGAATTATTTGTATTTTTTTATATTGGACAAGGCAGTGCTTGAAATTATAATACAATACTGATCAATAAAGAAACATACATAAAATGTTAAAAATGCAAAATGTTTATATAGAAGTTGTTGTAAACGTTGATCCATTACAATGTGGTGGTATTTTGATGCCTCTGTGTGGTGAAAGATGGGATTACATGTTCACAATGAAAGAAATCTACCACACAATACTATAATAATTAATAAATAATAATATCTTTGCTCATATTGTTCCTTTTTATCCTAATTTGTCCTGGCAGGCTGCAACATTACTCAAGATATGACTCACTTTTGTTGCTGCAGCATTCACAGTTGCACAATCACACTCACCCACTCCCAGAGAAAGGGAAAAAAGTATATATACATCTACTGCACATAGGCCACTAATGTATGTACAGTTTGCTGCTCTACTGACAGTGAAACTGAGGGTTAACCGAGAGTGACTTGATCGTCTCGGTATCAGTTTGCTTTCAGCCCCCCGATAGTCTTTTTGCTTTTGTGACTGACAGCAAAAAGTAGACGAAAGCAGATTGTATCTCTTGTCAAATTGCCCACAGGGCTGTCAGTGCATATAAAGGTGTCCTCTGGTAGCACTGCAGCTCCAGGATTTGTCTCTTGATTACATCAGTCTTGCTCTCAAATGTCCCCTCTTGGAAATGTACACAATATGTTAACAAAGACTGGGGTGTCTGGGGTTTGTCATTACTGAAACTAGAGTGAAATCTATTGGTGTTAGACTATTTAGTGGTAATAGGTCACAGATTTTCAAAGTCTGTTACTATGACAAAATCGAGAAAACTGCACCACCAACACCCTTATTAGTATTAATGGAATTTATATTGGGGGAATAATCATGTTTTTAGTTACCATAATTCGGGGGCTTTGGGTGATGAAACAGGAACTATGTTACCATGTGGAGTCAGTGCTTTAGCTTGGGCCACATCTTGAGTCCAGGTTTTTTTTTTTTTGATGATATTTGTTTACATTTTGGCAAATTGGCCGAATTAGATATTTTCAGATCTTGTTTGCAGTCTACTCACAGATGTACAGACAACTTATACTTAAGAAAACTAAATTCTTAGGCAAGTTCTGGAGGAAAAGGAGTCGTTGCTTCTATTATTTATATCCAAATCTATGGTCATTTATTCGAAATGGACAATGAAGATAATAGCAACCTGTCACACTGAATCTAAATCAATGAGTATAATGTCTCTGTGTTAAGATTTGAGGTATGATGTTGAGTTTATATGATTTTTGACTCAGATTGCGCCACAGAAACATTATCTTATTGCTCCCATGAGCTGCATGTCTGCCAACTGCTGCTGCCTTGTTAATAAACATGCGAAAATTTTTATTTTTGTACAATGCAGACCATAAGTATTCTCAACAATGGCACATTCTCTATTTTCTTCCCTTGAAGACACTGACTTTACAGGTTTACAGTAAATGCTGACTTTCCAGTTTTAAGTGTCCTGGAGGCTGTTCGTATAGTAATAAATGAATAGGGTAACTGATACATATTTCTGTAACTTGTGAATACAGTTACCACTGAAGCCAACTGAGATGTAAACACTCTCACATGAAAGCTTAAACTCAGCACTTTACCTTCATTGTCATTGTTTTATTTCAAATCCAATATATTGCAGCCGACAAAGCAAACATTTACAGACTGCAGTGAACTGTAGCTGACAGTGAAGGTTAAAATGACATACATGCTGAGTTCCTGTGCTGGCAGCAGGTGGTGCTGCTCTAACACCCGGAGAGGTGTAATACCTGGAGACATGTTGACAGTACCAGCATTTACTTCAGGACCAAAACAAAAAAACACATGAGATAGTTGCATTAGATTATATAACAGAGTGCCCGAATGTAGAGAAGTGAGACTGATAAAAATGTCACAGTTAGGAATCTTTTGTTGTTTTAAAGTACAGAATCATACATAAAGATGCAGAGATAAGCTTGTGCTATTCCATGCGAACGCAGTCACAACAATGTAATCACATTTACATCAACACAACACCCTTGAGGGCACATTATGTTTATAATAACGGAACTGTCTGAGTCCGTTCATGTCTTACAGGAAAAGACAACCGAGGAAAATTCTATGTTTTTTTTTATTATTACTGTGTTAAGTCTGTGAGAAAGACATAAATGACCTTGAAGATCTTGACCTTATCAAAATATAATAATGCAGCATTATGTTAAAGTACACAGTCATGCAATATAACAGTTTCACACAGTATGACACAATGACTGATGCCAACTATATACAACAGGAGCTGTATGCTCCTGGTCTGATCTGATTTATCACTTTTTAAAAACACATCATTCATTCTCCCACTACTGTTAAGAAACAGTATTTTCTTTTCTATTTTACAACTTCTAGATCTTTACAAAAAATCCATACAGTGAAATAGTTTAAGTTTGGCCCAGAGTGGCGAGAGACAATAATAAGTATAAATGTGTGTGTGGTGAGAGTGTGAGCCCTTCAGGTACAGCCGTGCTGTCCCAGAGCTGTGATGAGGTCCTGCAGCGGCTCAGTGTCCTCCGGCTCCAACAGGGCGTGCTGCCGGCAGAAGAGTGTGAGGTGTGTGAAGAGTGTGTTGAGGTGTGGGTGCAGACCCAGGGCAAGGGTCTCTCTGTAGTGAGACCCGTAAATGTGAGCCAGAGTCCTGAAAAACAGCAAAAATACCTTCTGGACGAGAAAGATGAAGCCTGTTGGAAAAGCTGAACCTGGAAAGAGGTAAGAGAGAAATGGCTTAGTACTGAAGCTAGAACACGATGCAGAACAATGCAACATAAAGAAAAATGCCTTTTACCTGCTTTTGTGGGGAACACATCTTCATCAGTCAGTAGCTCCTGAATGTATGACATGGCATAGTCAAAGTAGAGTGGGGCAGAGCACTTCAGCTTCCTCCCGTGGTCATCGGTCCAAACATAAACCCTGACAACACCAACACACGGTTATTAGGACACAACTTGATGTTTTATCTGTATTATGAAGTAAATAACAGCATAACATCACTGTAGAGTCACCTGATGGCAACTGAGAAAACTCTCAGACTCTTTTTAAAGCTAGTAGGCGCCTCTATTACCCATAGTGCAATTCAACTGCAACATTTGTGTGGAGCCTCAAGCAAAGCTGTGAGGAGTGGGTTACAGATATCTGGTGAGCTCACTCCACACCCCCAAATTTTTGTTTTTCATTTTCAAACTTCAGGCTCAACTGATGCTGACTCAAGTGACATCACTTGAGGAAATGTATCAAATATCACACAGCTCCCACTGGAGCCACAAAAGGCCTTATACAACTTTTTTCACCCCAGACCTAACCGAAAAGAGTTCCCCTTTTTTAAAGGTCCAGTGTGTAACATTTAAGAGGATCTATTGGCAGAAATGGAATATAATGTTTGTAGGTATGTTTTCATTAGTGTATCATCACCTAACTATGAGAGTCATTGTGTTTTTGTTACCTCAGAATGAGCTGTTTTTATTTACAGAGTACAGAGACATGGTTTCCATGTTGAACCACAGTTTCTACAGTAGCCCAGAACTTTTTGCAGCCACTATAGTTTTTCCTACGCACTTCACCGCGCATTCTCATTCCCAGTTCACAAAATACAGATGTATTCAGTTAGTAGCAATTGGTAACTCCACCGCTAGATACCACTAAATCCTACACACTGGTCCTTTACAAGTGTAGACAAGTATTGTACAATTTCGTATGTCCACAAACCGCACTGTTAACAGTTTTCATGGTTTTGGGACAATTTCTTTGGTAGAAAGTAGCTCATATAAAACAGATTAAATAAATAAACTTAAAAGTATCGGCATGACAAGATACCATGAGGACAGTGAGAAAATATGTTTGTTTTTTTCTTGTGATTTGGGTGAACTGACACTTTAAGTACATAACGTATAATTCTAAGTAACTTACGTGTTGCCTGGTCCGCAGGCCGTTGGGCAGGTGCTGGGAGTGCAGAACTCAGACAGTGCACTAGAGAACAGGTTTATATGCTTGAAAAACGCCACAGCTGAAAGAAATCAATAAGGAAGAAAATTACATCTTGTACATACTTGTACATTGTCCTACGTTTTTTGCAGTTTGAAATCAGAAGTCAGAAATCTTCTGTGTTTAATGGGGTCAACTCACTGTTGCTGGCAAGCCACTCTGCCTTGTCGACGCCAGGCGGCAGCTCTGTGAGAGCAAACATGTCTGTGTGTGTGATCCGCTGGCACACATTCTGCTGCTGCAGATACGGACGCTCCTCCAGATTATTGTTATTAATTCCCCTTGGGAAGACAGTGCAGAGTTAATGAAGCAAAGACAGAAAGAGAAAAGACAGAGAGACAGAAAATATGGCTGTGTAAAACAATCGATAGGTCAGTGAATTAATTACTCCTCCTGCAGCCAGTAGATAACACGTTTTACACTCTCTGATGCTCTCTCATCTGTCTTGCCCTCTATAGCTGGCACACACACATGCAAACACATACAAACACTGCTGTAGCTGCAGACCTGAATGCCCAATAAACCAGCAGTTAATGTAATGAAGGCAGTCAATTCAAAGCCAGAGTAATTACTGTTAATGAAGCTCACTGCTGCAGTGGTCAGTGCTACAAAGCAAATAAGTGAACAGATAAATGTGCAAGATAATATACAGAAGTGAGTACTGAGGCCTGCTGGCTTTACCAAACCTCTCTTTCCAACATCACTTCATATACCTACTGATACGCTACAG